GCGCTAGAAAATTCTTGGAAAAGCATCCAGCCGAAAACATAACAAAATCTAGACAAAGCCTAGAGCATTCCTAGGAAAATGCCAGAAAAGCCTTTGAAAATCTCATAAACCAACAGAAAACGTGACAAAATCTACGAAAAAGAAAGGGCATTGGCCGGGACCATGCCGCGACCAGCCCGGGATTCGAGCCCAGGACCATTTTGGACCGTGCTTATTTTCCCGCGCGGGTCGAGAGGGTGCCCCAAGATGTAAATCAATTGGGATGGCAGAATCTTGGACAATCCAGGTCGCATGAGGTCGCTTTCCCGTCAAATTCCGTAGCTATCAGGTCGCTTTTAGGACCGGATTTCGTCACTGCAACAAGGGTCCGGAGGGGTAGGGGAGGTAAGGTCTAGGTCTAAGGCTAAGGACTAGGTCTAGGGCTAAGGATAAGGCTAAGGCTTAAGTCTAAGGCTAAGGATTAAGGCTAAGGCTACGGCTTAAGGCTAAGGCTAACATCGACAGTCACGCCTCACCCAACGGTGTGGGGTCGGCGGATATATATTATTGGTTCTTTAGAGATGTTTTCCGGACCTCCGGTGGTCGGAGAGACTTTAAGATCAGCCCCGGCGACGCGCGAACGGAGGCTGCGTTTGGAGGTGAATTCTTCGAAGAGGAAGGGGCAACCCACCGCGGCGTGTGAGTTCGACGGGCTTCGTGAGGGTCATTTTTAACCAGGAATCCATAAACCGATCCTGAGGTGGGCATGCTTTTGGACGGTCGGTTGTTCGGGATTTGTTCCGATCTCTCGAACGTTGTCCCAGACACTCCATGTATGATATTAAGTATCATTAATTGAATTCATACCATCCCAAGTTTTGCCCATCCTTTTTGTATGTTTTTTTCATTTCCGCGTGATGATGCATCATAGCCCGCAGCAAGCATGCTGCGGGGCTCTCGGTGTTTTTTCGGTCCACTTGATGTGCAGATCAACATATCAAGCCCTGGGACTTGCGCAAGTTCACTCTGGTTTCGGTGAAAACAAACTCAAATTTAGACACGAAATGACATGGATCTCTCTGAAGCTTACCAGTTTGCCATTGATTTCTTTTGGATATGGTGGGTCCAAAGTGAGCTCACCATGTTTGGTTGGGTGTCCATTGTGCTTGGACCGTGTTCTTCTTCACCAAGAAAGATTTGCATGGTGGTGAAGGCTTTACAACAGCCAACATTGGCCAATCGCCAGCCCTGACTTGAGTGTGGAGGCGATTTGTCAAAGGCTGCGAACCAAAAACTACTGGAGGTTATAGAGTTAAGAAAGTTGAGTCAAGCATCTTCGACTTGAACTGCTGAATCCAAAGCATTGCCTTTCACTTCTAAGTCTTGCCACCAGTGTTACCCTGGTGATAGGTTACTGTAATCGATTTCAAGATGAGGCAGCCATGGTCCGGTTCAAGTTATTGCGTAAGACCTCTGATTACCCCAGCTTGTCATCCGAATATTGCACGCTTTGAAAAGAGGGATCTCGTTCCAGGAAGCGGCGGCTGTGGTGGCGAAAGGGGCTGACACACCAGAACAACTAGCCAAGGCAGACGTGAGGGTTCAGTATGCACCTTGTTGAGCTGCAAACTGAGACACTTTATGTGAGGCATGCGAGGATTGCATCTCAGACCATAGGTCAGACCTACTTGTTACTCTACTTGACATCCTTCTCTCTCTCTATTTGCAGGAAGCAGCTGCAGCAGAGCAAGGTGCTGGGACGCAAGAAGAACTTGCTAAGGCAATCAGGGGCCGGTGATCTTCCGCTCAGATATGATACTCAATATTTGTTATGTTTCTTGTGGGAAATGGGAAAGGACATTAACTTGGGACTCAACATCCATTTCCGAGCGCCATCCCTTTTCAGGAAGCAGCTACAGTGGAGGAAGGTGCTGAGACACAAGAACAAGTTGCGAAGGCAGTCGCACTTCCTTCAGGGTGAAGTGTTTTTTTTGCAACAATGTGTTTTTCAATGAGACAATGTTGGAGATCAACTTCAACTTGACATCTATTTGTGAGAGAGATCTCTTTGCAGGAAGGTGCTGAGACGCAAGAAGAAGTTGGCAAGGCAGTCACGATTGATTCAGGGTGAGGGTGAAGATGTATTGCTACAACGGGCAATTTTCAACAAGTCGAGTTCATGCAACAGTAGAATGAAATTCCATACCTTTTGGGGTAGAGCAAGAACTCGGAGGTTAGTTTCAGTTTGACATCCTTTTGTGAGAGATCTCTTTGCAGGAAGTAGCTCCAGTGCAAGAAGCTGCTGAGACACAAGAAGAAATTGCCAAGGCATCCAGGGTTCAGAGGGTGAACTGTTTGTTGCTATATATATAAATATATATACATACTTTTAGTTGGGTCTCTTGGCAGGAGGCAGCTGCGGTGGAGCAAGATGCTGAGGCGCAAGAATATATTGCTAAGGCAGCTAGGGTTCGTAGGCGGCAGT